GCCACCACTTCCTGTGGCAGTCTCCCATCTAAGTGCTAGCCTGGGCCATCCAGGTCAGGAAAAAAGACACACAGAGGTGGTTTGCCCTTGCCCGCCTCTGCCTAGCAGCCCTGGACTTCCTTGGTGGTCTCCCATCCAAGTACTAACCAGGGCTAACCCTGCTGAGTTTTCAAGATCCAATGAGATTGGGCTAATCTCAGCCATTCAGATCAGGGCAAAAGACATACAGAGGTGGTTTTGCCCTTGCCCGCCTCTGCATAGCAACCTTGGGCTTCCGTGGTGGTCTCCCATCCAAGATTTAACCAGGGCTGACCCTGCTTAGCCTCTGAGATCTGACAAAATCGGGCTGGCCTGGGCCATCTAGGTCTCTGGGCCATTCAGATTTTCTGAATTAAGCTTGCAAAAGGCAGTGGGGCAGATGCAGGTTGTTTGAAGAGTCCTTAACGTTCTGGCTAAAGGAAGCCAGCCTCCAAGTTACCCTCTGGGCACAATTCTCTGAGGCAGCGCCCGTGCGCAAATGCTGTTAGTTTCAACCAGCCCTGCATAGGAATAGCTCTTAGTGATTTGCAAGGATTTGGGGCACAATGTTGTTTGCCCATGGAAATGTATTTGGAATACTTCCTGTCCGGGGAGGGGTGTGTGTGGATCACTCTAGAACTGAAAAATGTATCTAGTGATCGAAACCTGACAAGCATCTGGTGTGAATTATCAATGCCCACCTTTCTACAGGAATACGTTTCTGTAGGAATAGACCTTTCTACAGGAATCCAAAGGGGATGTATCTGGCTCCTGAGATTTTACCAGGGATTATATTTGCACAGCCATAAAAGTTAGAAACTAGTCCTTTAAAAATATCCCTTAAGATTTTTGGTTCTAAAACCTGTGCCCAATGTCCTGTTTCAGACTTCTAGTTGGAAACTAGTCCTTTAAAAATATCCCTTTAGATTTTTAGTTCTAAGTCCTGTGCCCAATGCTGTATTTCAGACTTCTAGTTAGTCCTTTAAAAGTATCCCTTAAATTTTTTGGTTCTAAAACCTGTGCCCAGTGCCATATTTTGAACTTCTAGTTAGAAACTAGTTCTTTTAAGATATCTCTTTAGATTTGTGGCTCAACAATGCCGTATTTTGGACTTCTACAATACATCAAGGAATACTCCCATCTATAATTTCATTTCTCCACTAATAGTCCATTTTCCAGGTGGTCGGAATTTATTAATTTTCACCCTCTTCCCCTCGAGTTGTTTAATCGCTTAAAAACATGGAATTCTTTGGAGCTGTGTGTTAGCACTGTTGTAGAAATTGATTATACCTCCATGCCATGGTGTTTGCAAATTTTAACTGGATCTTAAATTGAATTCTAGATGTTCCTGTTTTCCCGCAATAGTTTAATGCTCCATAGGCACCTTGGCACACTGATGCAGGAGAGGAATGGGTGCGTGTGAAATGCCGTCAAGTCACAGCTGACTTATGGCGACCCCATAAGGTTTTCAAGGCAAGAGACGAGGAATGGGCACGAACCACATTTTGGCAGTTCGGTTCATGGCTGAACTGAGTGCTCAGCTGTTTTTCATGAAGAGCAGAAAGCAGGCGTTTAAATCGCTCGGAATCATTCCTTTCACAAATGGCCACAAACTATTGGGTGTTGTAAATAAGAAGCGGGAGACTGACCAGTTATGAAGGTGCACAGAGAGTTTATATAGTTATAAAGGTGAATATATACAGAGATATTTACAGGCTATTGAACAGCATGTCGTGCCTTTGTCTATGAGAACTGAGTCCCCATCCAGTTTACTAAGCTGATAGCTATTATGCTAAACCCCAGTTAATCTCTAACAGGGTGATGCAATCACTAACTCTAACAAGCCCTGAAAGAGTAACACATGCTAGAAAACACCTGGCTGTAATTACATGATTACTAGCATGACAGCTAGGTCTGACAAACAGATCAAACTGATCTATAGTGACTGCTTGCTACCTCTATCACTCTGACATATATCTCAATACAAACTGCATCAGAATTCGTGGAAGTTTGTAGCAGCTCTTCAGTTCGCAAACATTGCTTCATGATCCACAAACCGGCCGAAAATTCGTGATGAACTGTAGTTCGTCAGCCTGTTCGTGGCCGTCCCTACAAGAGACAAACCAAGGTGGTTTGCCATAGCTTGCCTCTAGGTGGCAACCCTGGACTTCTGTGATGGTCTCCCATCCAAGCACTCAGCTTCTGAGATCTGACATTAGCAGGCTAGCCCGGGTCATACAGGTCAGGGTAGGAGCACTGAGTAAAATTATCCTTTATGTGCCAATGGCAGGAAAATTTAAACTGAGGGTTTGTCTTAGTGCAAGGGTTCCTGGCTCTTGGTTGCTCTTTACAGTCCACTAAAACAGTTGTGTTTATTTGCCACTGAAATTACAACCCTTTACAATCCGCTCATGGGACTGGAATGCAGATTACATGCAATTTAAAGATGTAAACCTTAGTGGTTTGGGAGCAGAGGCTCGCAGCTGGCTGCCTTCAAAATGCTGTCCTTGCAGCTTTCCCTGGCGTTCCCCGCCCACCTTTTGAGGACGGTTTTCCTTCCTTCCCCAGTGACCGCGGTGTTGGAAAGCGAGAGCATCCAAGGCTTGTCGGGAGTGAAGCCGATGGGCTACCGAAAGCGGTCCTCCAGCACGGAGGAGAATACGTACAGCCTGGAAGCCATCGTCCGCCAGCTGAACGCGTTCCACGGCGTCATGTGTGACCAGGGCCTCGACCCGGAGATCATCCAGCAGGTCTTCAAGCAGCTCTTCTACATGATCAACGCCGTGGCCTTGAACAACCTGCTGCTGAGGAGGGACGTCTGTTCGTGGAGCACGGGGATGCAACTCAGGTGCGGCGGCGGCGGCGGAAACTGCCCTCATGTCACAGCCTGCGTATAGTGACCCAGTAGGGTTTTGCCAGTTTGGTGTAGTGGTTGAGTGCGCGGACTCTAATCTGGGAGAACTGGGTTTGATTCCCCACTCCTCCACTCGCACCTGGCTGGATGACCTTGGGCAAGCCGTAGTTCTGTCAGAACTATGCGTGGACTCTAATCTGGGAGAACCGGGTTTGATTCCCCACTCCTCCACTTGCACCTGGCTGGATGACCTTGGGCAAGCCATAGTTCTGTCAGAGCTGTTCTTGAAAAAGAGCAGTTTCTGTCAAGAGCTCTCTCAGCCCCACCTGCCTCACAGGGTGTCTGTTGTGGGGAGGGGAAGGGAAAGGAGTTTGCTTTGGGTAGTGAAGGGCGGGGTATAAATCCAATCTCCTCCTCCTCCTCCTCTTCTTCTTCTTCTTCTTCTTCCTTTCAAAGCA